CTACTACATTCAAGATTCTTGATTTGCCATTTTGGTGTTCTTGATCATTCATGAAAATTGATTAAACAATATGGGATTCACATTTGGTATCAGAGCAAACTACAAAAATTTTGATTAAGAAATTGCACGGAAATCGAGAAACTTTGCAAAGAATTCTGGAAATCTGCACATTTTCAGACTATTTTCTTTATGTGTTCTTGATATTTTTGAGCATATCCTTCTATTTCTCATCAAAAATCTTATAATTGTTGTTGTTTGATCTTGAATTTGTTGTTAATCTTGAGTGATTTACTGTTTAGAATCTTTGTATTCAAATAATTTGTAAATTTGAGCGCTTAATTGTGAAAATTTGAAGGATTTTTGAAATTTTTGGAAAGTTTCTTCCGTACTAGAAACTCATTAAATTTGTGGTTTTTTATCGAATTTTTGATGAAATGTTGTTTGTTTTTGTGTTTGTTCATATTCGATCAATGAAGATTGTATGTTTTCTGTATTCGGTTGTTGAATTTTCTGATTCAGCGTTAATTCACTATTCTCGATTCATCCCGGATCCACTAAGATGTACCGAGATTTAAAACAGTACTTTTGGTGGAACGGTATGAAACGAGATATAGYMGAATACGTGGCAAAATGTCTTACTTGCCAGAAAGTGAAGATTGAACATCAACGGGCTAGCGGATTGTTACAACCATTAGATATTTTAGTTTGAAAGTGGGAGAATCTCTCTAGATTTTGTGACAGGATTGTCGAAAACTCAGAAAAGACATGATGCTATATGGGTAGTAATTGATTGTTTGACAAAATCGGCTCATTTCCAACCTATACAGGAGACATACCATGTTAGTAACTGTCTGATCTATTTCAGCGAGAAATCGTGAGATCGCATGGAACGCCAATTTCTATCACAATCGGACCGAGATCCGCGATTCACTTCTTGAGTCTGGAAAAGTCTTTACCATGCTTAGGGTACGCGATTGACTATGAGTTCAGCTTTTCATCCACAAACAGAAGGTCAGACCGAACGAACTATTCAAACTCTAGAAGATATGTTATTGACTTGTGTTCTTGAGTGGTCTGGTGGTTGGGACGAGTCTCTATATCTTGTGGAGTTCGCATATAACAATAGTAGGTAAGCCAGTATCAGCATGGCCCCATACGAAGCTTTATACGGTCGGAGATGTAGAACACTGATCTATTGGATGAAGTGGGGGAACGAACTATCGAAGGACCCGAACTTGTCTAGATTACTACTGAACAAGTTGAGATCGAAGACAAAAAATGAAAGAGGCTCAATCTCGGCAGAAAAGTTACGTTGACAAGCATCGAAAACATTTAGAGTTTCAAACGGGTGATCATGTCTTCCTAAAAAGTTTCACTGTTAAAAGGTATTCGTAGATTTGGAATTAAAGGTAAACTTAGTCCGAGATATATTGAACCTTTCGAAATACTTGAACGAGTTGGAGAGGTGGCGTATCGCCTAGCCTTACCTCCTCAACTATCACATATTCATAACGTTTTCCGTATCTCATCACTCTGTGGATATCATTATCACCCTCTCCACGTGATTGATTATTCGTTGGACAAAGTTGAAAGAAATCTCTCTTATATTAAAGAACCAGAGGCGATAGTTAGTCGAGAAAAGAGACAAATGCTACGAATGTCAATACCATTCATAAAAGTGTTATGGTGAAATCATTCCGAGCGGGAAGCCACATGGGAAATGGAAGAATCTATGCAAAAAGAAATCGTATTATTTATTTTGCAAAAATATTTCATTCATAAAACCGATCTCACTAATAAAATGTTTGTCAAATTCAATAATGTTTGATCAAATGAAGATGAATCTGAGGGTAATTCTTTTTTGAATATTGAACATGAATTTAATTTCACGAAAACGTTTTAGTCATGACATCAGTTTCACTGATAAAAATTTGAAAACGTGATCAAACAATATGGCTGGATGTTAAAAATTGTTTGCCAATTTTACCCTTTCTTGGTTGAACATTAAATCTTTTATTTTATTTTATTTTTACTTTCCTAATATAACACATTTTAATCATGACCATTGATCAAGAAAATAGATGGATAAGATTAGTTTGTAGTGTTTGCACAAAAGAGGGTAACTTGCATTTGATCGCTCATCTCTCTCTATATATATATACAATTCATGGATCATTATCCTTATCGTCGGCCTCATTTCTCTTGTTTCTCTCTCTCTCTCTCTCTCTAAAAACTTTACTTTCTCTTTAAAAATTCCCTCAGTTTACTAAGGAAATCGAGGTAACAGTTATATATTCGAAATCCACTATTCAAACCTTTCTTAATTGTATAAATTCTTTTGTTTTTATTGCGATGTTTATGTTAGGGTATTTGAGGTTAATTTATAATTGTGTATGTGATTTATATATGAATTGGTATTTACAATTTATGGTTAAATACATGTCTTAGAATGATGATAATGGGTAAAACGATGTAGAAAAAAAGGGTAAATTATGAATTCAATATAGTTAGGTTGGGTATATAAGATTAACCAAACGTTAAGTGTTCGGTTAAATGTCCAAAAGAGCTAAATTGTATGATCAAACTTAGGATTATAATCATTAAGATTCTTCATGGTGTTTAATATGTTATGGTATGTTTAGAACATTTAAATATTGTAAATCATTGAAGTTGGGATCATGAAAGTGAGTTAGGGAAAAATGTGAAAATCGGGATTTTGGACAGCTTCAAGTCCGGTACTTTGACAGAGTATAACTCACAAACCGTAAGTCGGAATAAGCTCATATTTTGCAATTAGAAATACGTTAATGTACACTACAACTTTCATGAAGAGTCAAAAATCCAGTTATGATTTTAACTGGCTCGAAACAGTGTGTTTTGGGGCTGTTTGCACTATATTCGGGATTAATCTGCTGTTTTGTAAAATTCATATAAAACTGATGGATGATCTAAATGAGATGATTCCAAAACTAATAGACTCAAATGACACCAAACTACAGTTTTAACTTAGATAATACAATCTGAATCGGTCTCTAAGCAGGGTAAAAATGCTTAAAAATAAGATGGACTGAAGCAGTTGGATCGAAATAGCATAAGGCTAAGTTTTACGTTTGAGTTTTCAGTTCGTATCCGGTTGTCATTCTTGAAGTCTATGTTGTTTAAGTATATTAAAACCTAAGTAATTTTATTAGAATAATTATGTTATGGTTTTTATGTTTTGCAAATAGTAACCCGTTTATGCATTCGTTAGGCACGCAAGCAAGTCAAATTGATCGTGAATTTCCGTTTGATCATACGTTAATTGTCATATTCGGTTAAGGTACGGATTTGATACCTTATTTGGCACGGGATAGCTATATGTATAAGGCTTCCTAATCTGAATACATTGGTTCCAAATTCTCATTGTGCTCATCAAATGCTATTGAGCTTTTGTTTCCTTTCGAAATATGATGTACATTTTTTATTTGGAACTTGGATCATTTAGACTACTTGACTTGTTAGATTGCATCGTTTGTGAACCATTTTATTATAAACTCAATATTGGGAGCACCGGTATTGAGATGTTTCCATGATGGCTAAAACGATCATGGCATCCTCACTTATATAGTTCTTAAAGGTAGACTTGATTATGTACGGAGAGGATTGTTGCGTTGTGCTCGCACCCTTTTCCTCACTTATGTCCGAATGAACTGATCATTCTTTGGGAACAACACGTCCTCGTGATGCGGTTTGGTCTTTGGACCCTTGTCATGCCTTCGCGGCATTTTTACTTTCTTTTGAATTATCATTTAACATTATAAATTGTTTTTGAATTTGTTATCTCATATTCATTGTTTAGTAGCATTAAGCTCAGCTGAGATTTTCTTGTTCTCGGCAGGTACATGACTTAGCAAAGATTTTGGGATGAGAGCTACAAAGATGACAATACTAAAGATAATTCATTACGTCATACTTTTGTTAACTTTTGATGACTAATGTAGATATACTGGTATTTTGGGACCGTATTTTGAGACACGTTATCTCCCTTTGTAGTTATGTAATTATCTTTTGGTAAATTATTAGCTGCTCTATGCATTGATTTTTTTAAACCAATTGTGACATCTCCCGTCTTTTACCATACAGAACGGTAGTGTTACAACCTCTTACAAAACAATTGCCACTTAAATCTCCAATTTAAATCTTTTTTTTTTTTCTGAACTCTATTTTACACATGATTCACCTTGCATTACGTTTTTGCAATTAAAAAAACCAACAAGAATCGCAAAGAAAAAGATGAATGACTGATGCAGCAAATTTTTACCAAAAAAAAAAACGTTTAGTTTCGTGTAAGTTGAGGTTCTTTATTTTGATTTGATAATTTTTGGTGATATGATTATCCCTAAATTCTATTTGACATTTTGTTGTCAAATGATACACAAAAAGAGCATCCATTTAGCATTCCCCCAAAGGGTGAATGGTTATGTTAAACTCCATTAAGCTTTAAGACCCAATAAATTTTTACCCATTAAAGAGGATCGGTTAAGAACCAGTTATAACCAACCGGGCCCTACCAAATAGATTTCTCTTCAAGTTAACCGGTTAGGATCGAATTTTTAGAACAAGCAACACATGGTACTCACACATTGGCCAATCTTATATTGTCCATATCAATTACACATTTTGGGTTATGGACAAGACCGATTATGCCATAACCGGCTATGTGATGGCACTTTTTGATCAGACACGGTTAAAACGGTTAAGACCATTGACAATACTACGTCGTATCATGTGTTATTTGAAAATGATACACAAGTTTTTTTACCAATTTTTTTGATATAATGACAGTGTCGTTGGCCCAATGGTACCCGAGTTATGGTACAACTCATCCTTCCATAACGTAAAGAGTTCAAATCTTACCAAAGTGGTGATGAGTGTATGTAAGTATTTGCTGTAAATAATACTATATACTTCAACAAAACACCATTTGATAATAAATAATCTACCATCTTTAGTTAGTAACATCTAACCACTATCTAATCTACAACTGAAGTTACATTTATCGGTAAGCACGGTCAACGGTCTTGACCGGCCGACTGTACATTTGACGCCTACCGGCTCTTAACATGAAAACACGAGCCGAATAAAGTGCATAACTTTTAGCTGTCATCTGCAAAAACTCTAAATATAAAATCCCGAAAACGTTTAGAATACAGTCTGGGATCGACAGCAGAGATGGAAGTGGAATCGTATTGGAATGATTTATATGCATGTTCAAGCTTCTTACTTATGTCGTAATCTTGAAGTATATCTATAATACCGAAGAAGAGGATGACATTACAGAATTCTCCAGTTGGTTCTCCAACTAGTTGAGTCTCGTGACTTCTTACCGTGAATTCAACCCGTGCTGGCATGTTGATGCCGAGCCGTACAGAAGCCCACCTGCAAATGCTAGTTGTTTTAAATGTAGGCCTGAAAAATTAAACAATTCTGCATAATTTTATGGAAAAAAGTCGCTCTACCCTTTTAGAGATTGGGACTTGGTGCGTCCCACCCCTTTTAGACCCTACTTTCAGCGGGATATGCTAGGTTTGTTTGGTTTGGTTTTTATATGGAAAGCATCATTAATGTCGAAAATATGATAAAAGATGTTTGAAACAAGATCTTTGCCCTGTACAAGTTGATATGCAGCATACTGCAAAGAAAATCTTTTTCCCAAAACCTTTTCACAAGATGGGGGTTTTCACAGAAACAACCTCTCTACTCACTTGTTGGAGGTAAGGCCAACGTACATCCTACTCACCGAACCCTGGTTTGTGGGATTTACTGGGTTTGTTTGGTCTGGTTTCTACGGGTCAAGTAGTTGGTGGAAGGTCTACAAGACTTTGAGAAGAAAAAAGCCCAATCTTGGGACCGAACCTGATTTATACTGTTTACCAAAGCACAATTTCACCGATCCAAAGTTATTACAGGTTGAGTAAAAGTGGTTAGCAAGAATGTTTCACTATCAAGTATCAACCTTTGCTGTATCTAATACAAAATTCAGAAAATATAACGAGAATTTTAGCAAAGACCATCATTGCACACAAATTATGTGAATATTGATCCTAACATAGGCGCATCACCTTTCCAAGGGTTTTTCTATCTAAGACTCACCCCCAACCGAAGAGTTTTAGATGATATTTGTGAAACTTACCGTGTAGGATTGAGATCCACATCTGTAGAAGAAATAGAACTTGTTCTTATGCAATCAGGTTCATCTTTCCCTGAAAAGAGATACACAAAATAATTGCACCCTCTCGTTCAATAAGTTGTACAAGCGTGTCTGTGCATGTGCGTGCGTAAGAAAATGTGCTAGATCTGTGTGGTTTACCCTCGGTTGCTTCCGTATCTTGAAAGCTAATACCAACCAAGAGACTGTAGTCCATAATTCTCTCTTGTTCAAGGAAGTCACAATCTTTGTTCACTTGACTGCATCAAGTACCAACCATAGTAGCTTTAATGAGAAAAGCATAAAAAACACAAAAGTAACATGTAACATTCTTTAAAACACATTTCACAATTCAAGATTTCATGTTTATTTGCATCTATGTGAACAAGTATGTGCAAGCACTCTGCAAGAAACATGTATTAGAATATGTGTATCTTCGTATTTCTAGTATGCAAATATTTTGTTAAGATTATGTAACTTTTTATGTATATTTGATATATCAAATATGAGCACAGAATATTTGCATACAAAATATTTAACTAAAAATACAAAGATACACATATTCTAAGAGTATGTAATATCTCCATAGAATGATATTCTTAAAAATGAAGAGAGATCATGGGGAAGATGCAATAAGCTCACCTACAGAACTCCTGAAACCAATCTTTCTGCAGCCGAAAGATAAATTTGAGATCAAGGTCCTTGAGGGTGGTGTTTGCATCGATTTCGGATTCAGGTTTATCTGTTATTCGGCCATGAGAAGACCCTTTCAAGTCGAAGCGTCTGTGAATAGGTACTTCGGTACAGAGCAAATTCCCCATAATAACAAACCGAACCTGGCTCATGAATCCAAAAATATAAGCAAGGGTATTGATCACTGACCCCTTGAAACAAAATCTCCAAATTCATAGCTTTCTTCTTGTTTTACTTTCAGTCGTACCTTCTTTTGGATAGGTCCACTCAACTTCACGCAATGGAGTCCAAAGAATTTTGTAACAAGGGTGTTCTCAAAGGATTTAACGTGCTCGAAATATGCTGGAAGCATCCTTTTTAGAACCTGAAGTAGTAGTACTCATTTATCTAAATTACTAACAAATCATAAGAAACTTAAGCGTGCTTATTTTGAAACTGAAATTGGCTCACTTTAACTTCTGATTTCTTCATTGTCTTGATCATGTACTTGTCATCATTGGTCAAATAAAAGAAGCTTCCACTCTTTCCAGGAGAGGAGAGCTCCCGAAGAGCATCATTTCCACATATTGATAACATGTAATCAGCCGTATCCACGTTAAATAATTTCCTAAGAGTCCTGAAACCATCTCAAAACTGCGTCAGTGAAGGAATGAGGCAGAAAGACAAAAGGACATGGGACCAAACAGAAATAAGAACCAAATTGAACTAGCCTAGTATATCGCCCGCAAGGGGGGGGGGGGGGATTTACTACTGAAAAAGTGTGAAAGGGATAAAAACATATATGCTGAACATTGAAAATGCGAGATAAGGCAAACAGAAATAAGACTGCAAACTATAAACGTTTCTGAATATACCATGAGAATGAAGTTTCATATAACAATGTTAAAAGGCTAACCTGAAAACCAGCGGGCAGTAGTCTTTCCATTTAAACTCACATGACTGGTGAGGTGGAGTATGTTTTGATCCCTCGGGAGGAAATTTGGTCCATAACTTCTGCTCGGCATCAAAAGCTGTAGGCTTCAATTTAAGAGATTTAGTTGGAGCAGGCCTTCCTACAGAATGTCTGGAATTGCACCATCAATTAATAGCAAGTATAGACACTTAGCAGATACAACCACATATACATTTTTACCATATTAAAATTTATTTCATGGACAATATTCAGAATTTCCAAGTATTCTTACTGTTAAATGTCTTCAATCAGCAATCATGAAAATTAGACACGATGAACACATACTTATCTATAGCTAAAACACTTCCTGTAAAAGAAGTTGCAGAAAAGTTATTCCTCTGCTATGGCACTACCATTCAGTCAGATTATTGTTACAAAGCAAGATTTAGAAACGTTATAACTTATAATATATATGTAATAACTGTGACCAGATTTATCCATATCCTCTTCACATTGATTGTTTCCCACAAGAGAAAATTACTATCTATTAAGGCACCAATGACACAAAAGGTTGAACTTGAATGTATCACCAATATATTGATTTATGTTTTCATTTTTCCTATAATGAGCAATCTAATCCCCCTCTCCTCTCCTCCCCTCTTTACATGCTATCTTGAAGGAATAGGGAAAGAGCACATGAAAAAAAAAAAAAAAAAGGAAAGCACTTGTAAAGCATACTTCTTCACATTGGCATGATATTTCGTAAGGATTTTGAGTAACATGCCATTGTGAAGTGAGACTATTACTCCCTAAAGAATGAAAATAACAAGAACAGGAGGTAAATAGAATACACACTATCGGCTGAAACAGATACCTTATATAACATTTTAAAACTTGACTGATTTCATAAAGTTGGGGTGG